CCATCTTTCACACACCAACTTTGTCACACACCATCTTTCACGCACCAACTTTGTCATACACCATCTTTCACACACACACACACGCACCATCTTTTGTCACACACCATCTTTCACACACACCATCTTTCACATACCATCTTTAACCACCATCTTTCACACACCATCTTTGTCAAACAGCATCTTTCACACACCATCTTACACCATCTTTGTCACACACCATCTTTGTCACCCACCATCTTTCACACACCATCTTTGTCACACACCATCTTTCACACAAGTTATTCACACACCCTCTTTCTTTCACACTTTGTCACACACCATCTTTCACACACCATCACCTTCTTTCACATACCAACTTTGTCATACACCATCTTTCACACACATCATCTTTGTCACACACCATCTTTCGCACACCATCTTTCACATACCATCTTTAACCACCATCTTTCACACACCATCTTTCACACACAACTTTCACACACACACACACCATCTTTCACACACACACACACACCATCTTTCACACACACACACACCATCTTTCACACACACACACACCATCTTTCACACACACACACACCATCTTTCAGACACAGACACAGACACAGACACAGACACAGACACAGACACACACACACAACACACACACACACACAACACACACACAACACACACACAAAAAACACACACACACAACACACACACAACACACACACACAACACACACACAACACACACACACAACACACACACAACACACACACAACACACACACAACACACACACACAACACACACACAACACACACACAACACACACACACAACACACACACAAAACACACACAAAACACACACACAACACACACACAACACACACACAACACACACACAACACACACACACAACACACACACAACACACACACCACACACACACACCACACACACACAACACACACACCACACACACACAACACACACACAACACACACACACAACACACACACACAACACACACAACACACACACAACACACAACACACACAACACAACACAACAACACAACACAGACACACACACACACACATCACAAACATCACACACATCACACACACACACACACACATCACGCACATCACACACACATCACACACACACACACATCACACACACACACACATCACACACACACACATCACACCCACACACACATCACACATCACACACATCACGCACATCACGCACATCACACACAACACACACACACACATCACACACACACACATCACACACATCACACACATCACACACATTTCACACATCACACACACACACACCTCACACACATCACACACATCACACGCATCACACACACACACATCACACACACATCACACACATCACACACACACACACACCATCACACACACACATCACACACACACACACACCACACACATCACACACACACATCACACACACATCACACACACATCACACACACATCACACACACATCACACACACATCACACACACATCACACACACATCACACACACAACACACACACATCACACACACATCACACACACATCACACACACATCACACACACATCACACACACATCACACACACATCACACACACATCACACACACATCACACACACATCACACACACATCACACACACATCACACACACATCACACACACATCTCACACACATCTCACACACATCTCACACACATCTCACACACATCTCACACACATCTCACACACATCTCACACACATCTCACACACATCTCACACACATCTCACACACATCTCACACACATCACACACATCACACACATCACACACATCACACACATCACACACATCACACACATCACACACATCACACACATCACACACATCACACACATCACATCACACACACATAATCACATACACACACAAACACACACATATATATATATATATTTATACACAACAAGGACATCCCCACACTTCCCGACCAGGAAAACTCCCCTTATCGCCAGGTCGAAGTTACCAGAGCGAAGTGAGGCCCCCGGCGCGCATGGCGCCGAGTTCATGGAGGCTCCCCGGTCATCAAACGTGGCTGGCTGGACAACAAAACCTATAAAATGACGGAAAGTCATGGGAAAATATGTGAACAAAGCCTTATAAATGGGGGTTTCTAGCGAACATCATCTTTCAACGGTGGATTTTCCGGCACGCCATGAGCACTGGAGGTTACTAGCACCCCCCAATGCTTGATGGTTTATCACTGGGGAAAATGATCATTGCAATGTCACCCGGAAAATTTTGAGCTCTGAATCGGACTGGGATGACTGGGATGACTGGGAACAGAAGATGTAGACAGGTAGCCGGCCTGGTAAACTAAGAGTTTGCGAACTTGAAAATGGCCATAGAAATAGTGAGTTTTCCCATTAAAAATGGTGATTTTCCATAGCTATGTTAAATTACCAGAGGGTAGAATGAAGACCAACCGATACCAAACGGCTTGATGATTCAAATCATGCTTTTGAGGTTGAAACCATAGGGAAGAGAGTTTGGACCCGCTGGGCAAACCGAGGGTGGCTAGTGGGTTGAATTATATACAGATCTCGCAGGTCGGCAACCATGGCGTTGGAAAACATCCAATCTGGAACTCTGGAATCGGAAAATCTGGGTCTGGTAGGTCAAGAGTTTGATTCTTGTTTGAAAATGTAGGCAGGCGCAAATCTTCCTGGGCAGGCTCGAAGATGCTCAGGTTGGATCCGGGTCAAATGTGGACCTGAACATGGGGGATGTAGCCTCCGAATGGCTGAATAAGATAAACAGGTAATTTTCACCATCACATTTTGGGACATTTCAGGCAACCCCTTTTTCACATGTCAAGGTCCGATGGAGCCTGGTTTTTGGATCCTGGGAGCTGGAGCGAAGATTGAGGGTATAAATTCCATTTGCAACACATTAACAAGTTGGATTGGGATATATCGGATAGTGGATATAGATAGAACAAAGTCTTTTGTGATGATTGATGATGATTGCCATTTCACCATTTCCATCTCTGTTCTTTTCTTACTTCAACACGCACATGGGGATGGTTCTGAAGTGAAGCCCAAAAAAGGCCTATGGGACCATAGATTTTAGTATGTGTCTAGTATTTCACCAAGTCTAACTATTGGGGTGCCTAATTTTGACGTATACAGTGCACATGTTCGTCTCCACAATGTGCCATTGTCTGAACCTCATTTCTTTCCGAAGCATGGCTAGGTACGAAAGATTTTGGATCTTTTCTCGCTGTGATCATCTATGACTCCTATGACCATACTGTTGCCGCTCAAAAGTCCATTTTAATGCTGGAATCCACATTTTTGTTTATTTTTGTTGGTTTAGGTCACATCACGTTTCTTTTTGATCCACTTTCAATTTTGTTTGATCTATTTCCAGTACTTGTTGATCAGATTCAGATTTATCGTTGACAAGATGTCCGTTGTGTGCGCGTAGACATTTTCCAACTTCTTTTGTGTTGTTGATCACATTCCAATTATTTAATTCGTCTAAGTTGGTATAAATGTAATCGGCACAGATTAGATAAATTAAACAACAATAATTGGTTGAATAAGTAGAGCTTCTAAATGAAGTTCCTGGTTGGTGGTTTGGAACATGAATTTTATTTTTCCATTCAGTTGGGAACAATAACCCCATTTGACTTTCATATTTTTCAGAGGGGTGGCTCAACCACCAACCAGTCATGGTTGATTGGTAGAAATTATAAGTAGAGCTTCTAAAATTATTTCAGATAAGTTGATTAAGACAAATGGAAAAATCGCAATAATTCTAAATGAAGTTCTTAATCCATCTAACATCTTCTAACTTGGTTGGCTTGCTCCGATGGAGCCGTTCTGAAATGCCAAAAATCATCCCATTATTAGCTATTATTATCAGTTATGAACCATTAGTAACTGTTATTAATGATTATTAAGCATTAGAAACCATTATTCAGCATTATTATCAGTTATTAACCATTATTAGCCATTAGTAAGCATTATTAAGCATTAGAAACCATTCTTAAGCATTAGAAACCATAAATTTACCATTATTAAATTATTAACCATAAAATCATCATCCAATTTGTTGGGGTACCCCATTTCACTCAGTTGAAGGCATCGCGCCGAGCCTGGACTTGGCGAAGCTGGCGAGTCGCACCAGAAAACAGGTCCCCTCAGCAGTTGGTGGTTGACGAGAAGAGTAAAACATAGTAGCCTCAAAAATTTTCACAGACCCAAAATGAACAGAGTCCACTATTCTCAAAATATTCAAAAATCACCAAAATGGAAGTGTTGATAGATGTTGATAGATGCAGCTGCAGGTGAGCTGTGCGCGTGGCAGTCCCCGTTCCGGCCATTCCGGGTGTCGTCCTGCGGGTCGGGAAGGCCGGGCAGGGCCGGGGAGCCACGCGGCTGGAAGACGTTGGTGCCAACTTGCTTCAATGGATCGGTTTTCAGGGAGAATTTACGATTTACAGCCCCATATTTTATGTATATTTCATGGGGAAGTCCATGGCTTCCGGGCGCCCAGGCTTGAGCGCGTCGCAGTGCCTGGCCGGCGCCTCAGGGTCGACCTTACTAGTGCCATTTTAGGAACTGGTGAACTGGAAAACATACTCCATCAATCATCATAATGTTATTCTTTTTTTGTCAAATCTGCAGTGTCTGGGCGCCATTGTCATTTTTTTTTTTCAACTGGTGGCTTTGACACAGGCTACACTGGATGACAAAACTGACAAACTTTGCCTTACAAATGGCGAGGGCGACAAAACTCTAAGATACAGCTGGAGCTCAACTGGCCATCGGTATGTCTCAGGTTGAAGAGTTGCGTCCATCCACTCCGCCCAAGCAACCCCGGAGGTCCCAGTTGAAAAACGCTTAAAAAAATGTTCTGTGGGTGAGATTTGCGCCAGAGGTAACCCATCACCCATGAACACCCGTTAACCTACCCTCTGGTAATTTAACATAGCTATTGAAAATCACCATTTTTAATGGGAAAATCCACTATTAATGGTCATTTTCAATAGCTACGTAACAAATTACCAGAGGGTAACCCATGATTTTTGACCTAACTAGGGGATGATTCACATACGGTGAAAAACACCATAATTTTGGACCAGCGGGATGCACATCTCAAAGATCCAAGATCCAAATGGGGGATCCAACATGGCAAGATGCAACAAGGGCTGTGAACCGATAAACATGGCGATCTAGCAACAACCCATGCTTGATGCTCACAGATAATACGAATAATTGATGTTAGCAACAGGCCGGCACCATAAGCCTAAAATGCCTTAAATGAGGATGCAAGATGATGTAAGATGATGCAAGATGGGGATGCAACCCATCCAAGATGGGAATTTTGAGAGCTTTATCCACCATCAATATCCAACGTCCCACCAGTGCAGGTCCAAGTTGCGCCGTGCATCGTGGAGACCTCAGGGAACGGTGGCAGAGACCGAAGCCTGGGAATCATGGTTTATTTAAGGGGAATTATCCCCAAATGGCCGAACTATTCAGGTTAGTGAATTACTATAATTTACCCATATATATATAGATATAGATAGATACATCACCCAGTTTTGTAGGTTTTTATATGACCCATAGATAGAGCATCCAAGGGTCATATTCATATAACATCAAATTTACCCAGATAATTTGGGGTGACCAAATTTTGATCCATAGATCCGTGTGGCATGGGCCTGGCGGGATGGTCATCCAAGGTTTGCTGACAAACTGCACCAGGCAGGGACGAACAGAACTATGTCCTGAGAGGACCTACACAAAACGTACACATTAGTCACACAAATGCACACATGAGCTATTAAAACTAGCCTTGTTGATTGATGTTGATTGGTTTTTATAGGGAATTATACGACCTAGGTTAATATAACCCATAGTAGGGAAACCTATCAAGCAAGTGGTATAAAGAGATGGGACAGGGCTGTTGGATGCTGTTGGTGTATCTACCAGTCCTGGAGGGAAAATCTGCAGGAAACACCTGGGGCTAAACGCATGGTTCCCAATGCTGATTTGTACCCAACAAACTAATGCATTTGGTAGAGTTGAGTTATATAACCCTCATCATTGTTGATTCAGCTTCCCATATTGTGGGCTATATCCCCATGACAGTTAGACCATGTTAGACCCACCAGTTTTGATGGTTAAACTCCCAAGCCAACCAGGCAGGAGCTGTGATGACGCCTACCTCAGCACCTCGTGCGAAACTGGGGGACATTTGGAGTTTTTATGGGAGTCTCAATGGGATTCAGTGGGATTTTTAATGGGATTTAATGGATGATAGATACAAAGGATATAGTGGGGATATGACGATACAGAGGATATAGTGGGGATATGACGATACAGAGGATATAGTGGGGATATGACGATACACGCACACACACATACGTATATATATATACATCTTATATTTATAATTTTATACATATTTATACATGTGCATATTATTATAAATATATACATATATATATATTTATATTTATGTGTATATATATATACATATGCATACCTGTTTCGAAGATCAATCCACCATCGACTTTGGGGTCCTGTTCCATTCCGAATGGAACCTACAAAAAATTCGGGGCGTATCACCATCTTCGAAACAGGCGCCAGACGAAACCGGCTATTGGATTCATCCGATGACCCGGCGGATCCAACGAAACATCGGAACTGAAAAATCTTGGGACGGTGAAAACCATGCCCTGTCCAACGACATGGTTTAATATAAGTTTATTGATGTTTATTGATGATTGTTGTTGCCTATATCCCTGCTGCTTAAGTCCGGCATTATTGTTATTTTGTTTGGTCAAACTCCCTTTGCTGTTCGGTAAAAACCATAATTGCTTGACTTATCCCTTCGTTTTGCTGGTGTGCTGCTCAGATCTGAATTGGGCTGCTCAAATCCATGTCTTTGATCATTTGTGTTGGTCTAATCCAATTTTTGTTCAACCTATAGTCCGACGGATCATTTCCATACTTTGAGCAGGTCAAACGTGTTTCAATGGTCTTTTGACTTCTTAAAATCAATTTCTTTTGGTTTACATCCTGTTTTCAACACCGCTGACGTGATGTTAGGACAGCGCCACCTTTGCCGGCTCGATATCCACGGCAGTGACGGCAGTGGCCGAGAGTCCTGCACAGGCCCCATAGGAAACCAACAAAGATATGGAACATAATTGGAAATTCATAAGCATTAAATAATATATGGATATATGGGTATATATATGGGGGATTTATAGTTGAGAACCCTTGACTTTAAGTTGGTTAAGTTGCTTTCTAACTCCAATATCTAGGGGTTATGGTAAGACCTGTAGATGATGGGGAGTTATGAAGCAACTCATGCCTGGGTGCACCACCTTGTAATGTCAACCCTGGATTCATAACTCCCTGTAGTGTTTGGGGGGGTCACCATCAAAAGAGTTTTCCTACCTTCGAATTTCCATAGAAGTTGGTACCGCCCCTACTAACCTTTTTTTTAAACATTCTGGTTTGACATACCCACTAGTAAACCATACCAATTTGAAGTGTAGTGTAGAGCATCAACAATTGGACGTTTCTACATGGACCTTGGGTTTTCCACATTGCCAGAATCCAGGCGCATGTAATGTGGGATTGACCCCATAATACATATACATATATATATATTCAATTTTGGAGGGTTTCGAATCCCATCCAAATCTGGTGAAATTGGGGATGATAAATATTGTTGGCTTACCACATTGTATAACTCTATAATCTATGAATCTATGGGCTCCCAGGGTTCCAGTCTATATCAGTTGGAAGATGGGCCATCAGATGAAGATAGCCAACATTAAACCAGGCTTACTGTTGAGGTATTCTGGTTCTTGATTCGCAGAGATGTCATGGGAATGTTTCACCCAATGAAGCATTGAAAAGTTGGGATTTAAGGAACACACACACACATGCGGATATTAACCACACATGAATGGTTGTTGAGGATGAACCATAGGCTTATTACTCTGGGTCTAATGTAGCTATGAAGGAATCCAATATCGGAGCCTCTTTATCCACCAGTGGAACAACCATGGCCAGCCAGTTACTCCAGTGCTGCCTCAACCAGGGTTGTGATTGACACTTGCTGGGATGGACATGCAAGTAGGCCATTGGGAGGTGGAAAAACATAGGGGAAATCATCAAACATGCACTGGAAGGAGATCGATTGACAGCAATGAAGCATTCATTCGAATGATACTGGATATATCTCAATATGCTTCTATAATTCTATATGTGTGCAATGATTTATATATGTATATATGAATATATGTGTGTGTATGTATATCTATAATGGAAAACAAGTTAACACAGTAAAATATATTACAGTATAATAAAATACCATGTGATGTAACATCATTTAAATCAATATGATATAACAGGATTCAATATAGCCTAATCTATCCTAATCTGATGTACTACAATAATTTATTTTATTTATGTATTTGTATGTATATCTATGTATCTATCCATCCATCGATCTATCTATCGATCTATCCATCCATCTGTCTATCTATCTATCTATCTATCTAAATTATCTAAACCTATTTAACCTATCTAATCCGTCTGATCTGCCTAATCTGTCTAATCTATCTACTGTAATCTATCTAATCTGTCTAATCTGTCCAATCTGTCTAATATGTCTAATCTCTCTAATCTATCTACCGGTCTACCTATCTACCTATCTACCTATCTGCCTATCTGCCTATCTACCTATCCACCTATCCACCTATCCACCTATCTACCTATCTACCTATATACCTATCTACCTACCTAGCTACCTAGCTACCTATCTACCTATCTACCTATCTACCTAATCTAATCTAATCTTATCTAATCTAATCTAATATTATCTATCTATCTATCTATCTTACTTATGTAATCTATTCTAACCTAATTTAATCCTAATCCTAATCCTAATCTAATCTAATCCAATCCTAATCCTAATCCTAATCCTAATCTAATCTAATCTAATCTATCTATCCTATCCTATCTATTCTATTCTATCCTATCCTATCCATCCTATCTAACCTATCTATCCTATCGATCCTATCCATCCTATCTATCCTATCTTTCCTATCTATCCTATCTATCCTATCTATCTACCTATCTATCTACCTATCTATCTACCTATCTATCTACCTATCTACATTTCTATCTACCTTTCTATCTACCTTTCTTTTACCTTTCCATCTAATCTATCAATCTACTCTATCTATCTATCTATCTATCTATTCTAATTCTAATTCTAATTCTATTCTATTCTTTTCTAATTCTAATTCTAATTTAATCTATTCTATTCTATTCTTTTCTATGTTATGCTATTCTATTCTATTCTATTCTTTTCTATTCCTATCCTATCCTATCCTATCCTATCCTATTCTATTCTATTCTATTCATTCTATCTTATCTATCTTATCTATCTATCTGTCTATCTATCTATCTACCTATCTATCTATCTATCTGTCTATCTATCTATCTATCTATCTATCTAATCTATCTAATCTATCTATCTATCTATCTATCTATCTATCTATCTAATCTATCTATCTATCTATCTATCTATCTATCTATCTTATCTATCTATCTATCTATCTATCTATCTATCTATCTATCTATCTATCTATCTATCTATCTATCTATCTATCTATCTATCTTATCTATCTTATCTATCTTATCTATCTTATCTATCTTATCTATCTTATCTATCTTATCTATCTTATCTATCTTATCTATCTATCTTATCTATCTTATCTATCTTATCTATCTTATCTTATCTATCTTATCTTATCTATCTTATCTATCTTATCTATCTTATCTATCTTATCTATCTTATCTATCTTATCTATCTTATCTATCTTATCTATCTTATCTATCTTATCTATCTTATCTATCTTATCTATCTTATCTATCTATCTATCTATCTGTCTATCTATCTATCTATCTATCTATCTATCTATCTAATCTATCTATCTATCTAATCTATCTATCTAATCTATCTATCTATCTATCTATCTTACTATCTTATCTATCTTATCTATCTTATCTACCTTATCTATCTTATCTATCTTATCTATCTTATCTATCTTATCTATCTTATCTATCTTATCTATCTTATCTATCTTATCTATCTTATCTATCTTATCTATCTTATCTATCTGTCTATCTATCTATCTATCTATCTATCTATCTATCTAATTAATCTATCTAATCAATCTATCTAATCAATCTATCTAATCAATCTATCTAATCAATCTATCAATCTATCAATCTATCAATCTATCTATCTATCTATCTATCTATCTATCTATCTATCTATCTATCTATCTATCTATCTATCTATCTATCTATCTATCTATCTATCTATCTATGTGGGACTTCCAAACGAACTGATTCCCAAAAAAGAACGGGGCAAGGATTGCTGAGATGGAGTGGAAGCAGTCAAGATTTCAAGAACAGACGGCGACACTGAGATGTGGTGCCATGCTTTGACACCGTTTGCGGGGACGTATATCCATCCATAGGCAACACACATAGACCTTATCTTTTTTTGTACTGTAGGTACCTCGAATTAGATACCTGAACTGGGTTTGGCTGGCCTGAACATAGGGCACCCTCAAAACCCAAAGGTTTATCTGGTGCAGCCCTGGGCCCCCCAACAGCCTTGCTTCGGGGCAGGTTGCGGGCTATAGCGGCTATGGTCAGGCCGATTGACCCCTGAAGAACATGGAGTGGTTCCATTCAGACAAAAAAAATAAAAGACCCAAGATATGCTCTGACACTTGACTCACCCCTAAGATTTTGGGGCAAGTAAAAACCACTAATTGGTCAATCAATGGGGTTGATACCAGTAGCCTCGATTCGGTCCCCAGTTGGGACAGATTTTCATGGCACTCAACGGCTGGATCTGTACAACTAGGATGATGCACAGGCAAGTGCCCCTGGTCACAGTAGCTAAGTTAGTTTATCACTCCAATAACTAGGGTTCATGGTGATTATGTACAGTAAGGGGGGCTATAAACTTATAACTAGGGTGGGGGGCACCACCTTGTATCACCCATGGTTGTGTGCGCTATATTATTTTTTGCCACCCTAGTTCAGTGACCTCCCCAATATTAATAGATGGTTGAGATTTGCCCTTGTAAACGTGGTTCTTGATGGTCAATAAACCGTACCCACAGACCCAAACATTGTTGGCCGAATCCCATGATATCTCAACCAGTACGAAGTACAGGTAGTCAATCATGGCGTGTTGGAAAATGCCCCATTTACTTGGAGGATTTTTCCATAATTACTATCAATCAAATCTGGAAAAAAAACCCTCAACTAGCCCTTGTTGGCTAAAATCCGGAAAAATCAAACGTGGCAAGCGATAGCTGGAGCATCCACCATTTAGTTCGACGATTTTCTCAGCGAGTTTCCTATGATTCTCAGGATTCCATCATGACACCAGGCAGAGCTCGAGGTGAACCTCGAGGTGAACCTCGAGATTCACCAGGTCCAGCTGCCTCCCGAAGAGGACTTGCAGGCGATGGCTTGCCCAGTCATGGATTATACAATAGTGGTGAATAGAGATTAATAGTCATGAATAGTGGTTACGAGTAGTTCATAGTGATTCATAGTGATTCAGAGTGATTTTCAAAGGAACCAATGATGATGAATCATTATGTATTGAAAATCACTATGAATCACTATGAATGGATGGTTTGTTGCACCTCCGGCCGGTCATTTTTCAGACTTTGCGAGTTGTGAGTTCCGCCATGGCCGATGATTTGAGTCCGAGGATTTGCCGAAAGTCACCGGTGATTCCCATGGTGTCATGGATTTGACCAGGTACTGAAGGACTTTCATCGCGTGCAATGAACAAAAAACCATAGCTATAGTAAGGGGTGCTCTCAATTGCAATCCATTTCGACGTCCAGATTCTGCTTTTCTTGCTTAACGTTTTTTTTGTTCCCAGCTTGTTCTTCTGCCCACCCAAGATTTGAAAAATTATCTCACCTAGTTCCAAGATCAGGGCTAAGAAGTACGACCTAAGAAGAGAGAAAAAGAATGACACATTTCAATACGTCTATCCAGTTGCATCGGCTTACAACATCTTACAGCTAGTTATAGCTCGGATTATTTATGATATTCATTTTTTCACATAAATGATGATGTACAGATACATACGCATACTGTGAAACATATACTGAAACATTTACTATATCCATATGTTAGCATATTCTTGCATATGTATACATCAAATTCATGAGTTATATAAATTCATTTAAATCTTGGCAAAATATAAAGACCTCACTGTTCTCCCTCACTGGAATCATGGTTAATAAGATGAATCAACCCAAAATGGCCGCAAGTTTCAGGTTAGTGAATTATTATCATTTACCCATAATGTATATATATATATGATATATATATATATATGATATATATGATATATAATCTATGTATAGTAACCTCCTGAAAGATGGAACAGTCCTGAATATCATTTTTCATTGTTTTCCATTTGCCCAGATAAATACCATGGATATGTTGAGATCACATGGGCTCCTCCAGGTGGAGCCCTTGGAAACGGAGACCTGCGACACGGGCGACGCGGGCGACGCGGGCGACGCGGGCGACGCGGGCGACGCGGGCGACGCGGGACACGTGCGCTTCAGGGCGCTGGGTGCGATGGTGGAGACCTTTGAGCGTTACTCGGCGCGCTGGACGACGGTCGTTGAACCAACCGTTGAACACTGTGGGCTATGGAAAATCATCAAATTTTCAAGGGTAGATCATGAAATCATCGCACTAAATGGGCTATGTGGCTATGTTTTAATGATTTTCATGCATCCATAGCTATGTTAAATAACCAGAGGGTATCATCAAGCATATGATCAATAGTGATGATAATGTGGGCAAACCAACCATTTGGGGGTGGTTTCTAGCGCCCATTTCTGGTGAAATTGGGGATGGTTTTATTATTGGGTTTACCACATTAATCATGATATAGCTATGATATAGTGTCATTTTATGATTGTAAATCAGAAAAACGATACACATCCTTAGGTAAATGATAAAGTTGTAGGATAATCTGATGGTTAGGATAACAGTGATAACGACAATGATCTATACAATGTCTATAGCTGGATATGATATGATACAGCCGTGATAATCATAATAGATCATCCGGACAACAATGTATACAATGATGTGTACAATTATGTATTTCCTGGTGAGATATTATCATCACAGTACGTATGTGTATATTATACATGCATATACGTAAATATGTATGCATCCCGTGAGATTTTTCAATTCTGGTTGGCCACAATCCCATTTTCCAGGTACCTTCTGGTAATTTATCAGTTTGCTATGGAACATGGGTAAGTCATCCATAAATTTTGACGCTTAGCCGGCAATTTTCCATACCTCCTTAAATTACAGGCGCGAACTATCTATCGAACTTCACGGGAAATCAATGGTGCTTCCGGCAACCAATCAAACACTGCTGTTTGGAAGGTCAGGGTTTTGTTCTGGGGAGATTTGCCAACATATATTTCATGGGTTTTAATAGGAACATATTACCAGTTATTACCATCAAAATGGGACATATATATATATAACTGATATGACCATCAATGATGGGTGACAAAACCTGGGTAAGCTTTAAAAAAAGGACCTCACCTCGCGACCTGGCCATGTCACTGGGATCATGGTGACTACGATTTTTGGTCCACTGGTGGTTGTTAACCTATCCTTGATATATTTGGGATCTGCTGTTCCACAAATAGTGTGGCGATATTATGCCATATCCATGTGAGTTACATATCCTGACTTATGGGGGTTTGCGGGTTAGGACAATGGTTATGCCAACGGTTATGCCCATGAATGACACCACCAGCACCCCAAGTACTGATCGGGACATCTACAAGACGTCTGTTTGTGGTAGAGCCCAAGGGTTGTCAAAGAAGTAGGTTTCTGGGTACCACTGCTTGGTGGTGGCCTCACTTCCTCGATTCAGGCTGAATTTTCCGGAGACACCCATGATCTCAAACCACAGTCAAAACTCAAAACCACAACTTACAAGCGTTTATAACTACCCTCTGGTAAACTAACATAACTATGGAAAATCACCATTCTTAATGGGAAAACTCACTATAAATGGTCATTTTCAATAGCTATGTTAAATTACCAGAGGGTAGAACACTTGCTTTGAAGGGTCTGGGAAAACAGTTCCAATAACTCATTGGTTCAACACAGGTTACCGAGTCACTGGTTGAAGATTCCGACCACGCTGTCGCCCGAGGTTTTCCGGGCAAAGTTGGCGAGGCAGCCAACAATCATGGGAGGTTTCACCCAGGGATTTAGCCAAACATGAGGTTTCTTTTTCAGTATTCTAAGATGATATGGATGATGAGGGGTCAATAGCCATGTGACCAGCAGAAAGGGGGCAATAAACATCCAGCAGTTTAGAACCATCTTGGTGTGAGAACCAAGCGATTGGGCTGTGCCCATACCGTCCCATACCCCAAAGGGAAAATTCTCCCGACAGAGATGGAGTCTGACTGAGGAGTATGGGTAGAGCTAATGATTTTCTGATATAGACTGGACACTTTCCATTGCCATAATCACAGGAGAGTATTGGTTCATGGGAAGGGTGCCAGTTTTGAAATGGCGATCTTTCACACAGAAACAGTTATCTTTTGATCCACATTCATGTCGAGGATGCGGTGGCGGACATCTCTTGCACGGAACACATGCATAGAGACTCACTGGCAAACATCACAAGCATACATCATATCATGTACCCCCCACCCCGCACATTGTTTTGATGGCGCCATACGGCTGCTTATGTCATGTGATATCACCAAGGTCTATGGTCCTTTGTTAAGCCATGTTAAATCTATAACTGTATATAACCCCTACTGCTTGGCTACCACCTATCCACCTATCCACCTATCCACCTATCCTCCTATCTATGTACCTACCTACCTACCTACCTACCTGTCTATCTGTCTGTCTGTCAGTCAATGCTGAAGAAGTCCCCCTCTGCCCCAGGCCCACCGGTCGCGTTCGCAGACCGATGAGTCCTATTTTTCTGAGCAGGTTCGAGTTCCGGTTGGGGTCGGTTGGGCTAGGGTTCTCTGAGTTGTCGTAAGAGTTGGACTGGCTGGTCTGATGGATATTCCAAGATTGTGGCTGGGGTATAGTCCCTTAAGCCGGGGCTGTAAAGCTAGGATATCTTACCCACATGACCACTGATCTTGGAGCTCAGATCCAAAATCATGGCCTTCAAGTTGAGCACAGGAGGACTCACTCGAACCCCTTCATCCACTTTTTGGGTTCTTGGGCTGGGTTGGTTTCTGGCTGAGTTTCATGTTTTTTTGGGCTCCCGGATCTTCTGTTTTCCGCGGATTTCATATGATTGGATAGTTCAAAATCGTGGATGATAAGATATGATAAGAAAGTTAACCAGTTCAGATTCGCCGGACTATTGAACCACTTGGATAATCTTGATCTATAAATGACATTAAGTTACATACATACATACATACGTACGTACGTACGTACGTACATACATAGATAGATACATAGATACATAGATAGATACATAGATACATAGATAGATACATAGATACATAGATACATAGATACATAGATACATAGATACATAGATACATAGATACATAGATACATAGATACATAGATACATAGATCCATAGATACATAGATACATAGATACATAGATACATAGATACATAGATACATAGATACATAGATACATAGATACATAGATACATAGATACATCGATACATCGATACATCGATACATCGATACATCGATACATAGATACATAGATACATAGATACATAGATACATAGATACATAGATACATAGATACATAGATACATAGATACATAGATACATAGATACATATATACATAGATACATAGATACATAGATACATAGATACATAGATACATAGATACATAGATACATAGATACATAGATACATAGATACATAGATACATAGATACATAGATAGATGGATAGATGGATAGATGGATAGATGGATAGATGGATAGATGGATAGATAGATAGATAGATACATACATACATACATACATACATGTGTGTACACACACATATATTTATTTATATGCATATAGCCTCAGATGGGACGGCAGTTGGGGTGTTCTTTGGGTATATAATAGAAGTATAGTGGTTAATAATGGTTAATAATGGTTAATAATGGTTAATAATGGTTAATAATGGTTAATAATGATTATATAATAGTAAATGGTGTTTCATAGCCTTTGGTAAACTAACAGCTTGCTATGGAAAAACATCCTTTTTTGGTAGGTAATTTAAATCAACGAACTAAATGGCCACATTCAATAGCTATGTTAAATTACCGGGGGGTAACCGTGGATGTAATTTTTTGATGATGGGATATAAAGAGAATGATATGATTGTGATACAATAGGGATTTCACCATCATTCAAGGGGTTTAGACCACCACACATGTGGATTTATTCATGATGGTTGATAGGGCATAGAGGTCATAATGGGTCATACAACCTGGTTTTGGGGCAGAGATTGAAGCCGAAAAAAAGGTTGCTCTGCAATATCCATGAGTTGCGGCATGGAAATAAGCCCTTCGCCCAAACTGTGGCTGGAGGCCATGTAAGGTCCGGTATTACAAGGTATGGGTGAATCGGTTTCTTTCGGCATTCTGACAGAGGGCCAAGGTTTACCTTGGTACTGTTTCTTGAATGTGATGGGTCTTGCTATATATATATATATATGTAATGTATGTATGTAATGTAATGTAACGTAACGTAACGTAATGTACTGTACTGTACTGTAATGTAATGTAATGTAACGTACGTACGTACGTATGCGTATATGTATATATGTTTGTGTACACATGCCATATTTTGCTTGTTTCTAAGCGACTTCGTCATCCCAATCCCAGTCGTCGCACCCGGCCTTGAGTTTTTGGCGCTATTCCAAGGTGCCGGGAGTTTCATCGAGGAGGCCGCGGGACACCGGGGTAGTTGGTTATCCAACTTCATCCTTTGCCATTTTGATGATTTTTGATGTGGATAGTTTTTTTTTTACAGTAAATACATGGATAGGTATTTTTGATTTTTGATGATTTTTGCATCACCAAATCCGTTTTTTCTTTTTTGTTATTTCGGGGGTAGCTAAGACAGCTAAGATTGGCCATGAATTGTGATCGGATTCACGGGGCTATTTTGGAGCGACAAGACATGGCAACATAGAGGGTCAAATCACTAAAGCCTCGGGGAAACTGTGGCTGGAATGATCCAATTAAAGTCGAAAAATCACACCCATCAGAAGCCCAGGTTTGGCTGGAAAATGCCTGATAAATCGAGGTTTTGAATAGAAAATCAGAACATCCTCAGTGGGGGGGGATTATCCATTGCCATTGATTGCCGGAGGGTACCCCTGCAACGCACCCACTCCCACCTATTTTAAGACAGGTCCCGAAACACCATGTAGATGGTGTACCTTCGAAACACACACACACATGATTCTGTATACAATAAATAAATAAATGAATATATATCTATATGTAATATATATATATACCCGTATAGACGTATATCTATTATGTATTAATTCATATCTAAATAGATACGTGTAGATATACATATAAACATGAATATAAACATAACTATAATATAGATATAAATATAGATAATCATAGATATAAATTAAATTAAACAAATAAATACATGAATAAATAAATACATACATTTTTATATAATATTATATATTTATATGTATAGACATGACATAGATGATAAGCCTAGCTCAGCGGTTCCAGCCCTATGACTGGTAGGGGGCCACTTCTACAGGCGAAGCCACGCGGACAGCGGGGAGCATGTTTCAAGCGCAGGCTCGGACTTGGCCGACTTGGCCGACTTGGCTGGTGCTTCATGAAACCAGTTGTGCCAGTTGACTGAATTTCATTTGTTTAGATGGATACAGCATGATGCATCACGTAGACCATCCAGTAAACTAACATAATAGATGTGGAAAATCCACAATTTCTAGATGATGTTCCCATGGGCCATGGTTTTTCAACGCGATTCCTGGTTCGTAAGTGGGTTATAAACCACCAATTAATCCCACCAATTACCATCTGGTTATGACTAACATAGCCATGGAAAATCACCATTTTTAATAGGTAAACCATCTATAAATGGGCCATTTTCCATGGCTATTTTAAATAACCAGAGGGTAATCCAAATGATATCCAATGATAATCCATTTGCTAACAAGTTAACCAAGCCCATGGCCCATCGAAGCTCCTGGATTTGCTCTAGGACGTTTTTTTTTTTTCGATTTTCCAATTGGTTAATCCACCATGACTGGGAAACCTACTATGATTATTCAATTTTAAAGTTTTTTTTGGAGGTCTTAAGCAAATCCAAGCTTTGAGGGTTTGAATTCCTGAGACGTGAGTCAAACTGGGGGATCAAAATCTATAGCCGCAGCAGGTGTACAGTTCCGAGGACAACTCCAGGACCCACAAGATTTAGGTCAATCTTGGGGTACATATGTGTCAGATCCCAGGCCAACCTCAAAGCCCAGGACCAACCTTGGAGGAACCCATTCATGTCTTGTTTTTCCTGGGATGACCCCCGATTTTCGAATTGGGATGGTGTGAAACTGCCGGCCCTTCATCAAATTGGTTGAACCACCAACTTGACACCAACTTTCATTGGATCCGATCCCCAGAACTTTTCTTCGGAGGATCATTTTCGATGAGATTCAACTTGATACAAGGTGGTGCCCCATAGTTAGCTAAGTTGGTTTATAACTCCCATAACTATGGTTTATGGTACGCAAATAACTATAGTATTCATGGGCTTTATAAACCAACCAACATCACTGGGGGGCCCCACCTTGTTGTTTTCGGCTCCAGGTCGATTCTCGAAACGCTCCAGCGTGGTGGGGACCACAGCACCATCCCATAGCTGGGGCCGTTTCAGCCTCCGGTAAGTAACCGTGTCTTGGAGAATCCACAAGAATGGGTTAAGAGGTTTATGGCTAACATCATCTATAAATGGGTTATTTAATAAGGGCTGCCACCTTCCAAAGTATGCCCAAAGCTTGATTGGATCGTTGAATTACTATAAGGCTTACCACATGGGGTTTTCTGTCAACGTTTTGGAAGGTGGTGATTCGCGTGGAGCGTACTTTTTGGTCTTCTGGCTCCATGGGAGCCCGACCCTTGTGGAATCTGACATGAACACAAGAAAGTGAGGATTGAAGTTTAGTTCAGTGTTTGAATCAGCAATATTTGGGGGTTCAGTGGTGGAATTATCGCAATGCAAACAAAATCAGCAGATTGAGTCACTCACTTCATGACACGGCATGATACTCTTCCAGTCCTTTCATCTGCTGCAGGCATGCCTGGCTCAATCCTAAGCCCTCCACCAAGAATGCTTGGTGGTTTCGCTCAGGTGTAGATTAGCTGCACCTGGGAATTGCTAAACTCCATACATTTTGGGGGGGGGGTCCTCCGACCCCCGTCCGTCAGGATCCGGGGGGGGTGATCGGCGGGATCGGCGATCGCCTGGGGGTCAGGCGTTCAGCCCTTACAGGTGAATCAAGCGATTCCGACAGCAACCAGGACCAAGCCCGACTCAGCAGTTCTTACAACCGAAACTTGATGTTTTTTGTGTTTGGAGTGCCTAGGAGGGGCCTGAGGAGTAGTGCATATTCATTCTCTAGTGATTCTAGATATATAGATGTATTATATTATATATTCATATATATATATATCGATAAATGGGAAGCGAAGGAGCTACCAAGAGTCTCCCAGCTGCATGATAGGGAGAGTTATAGTTCTGAAGGTGCAGAATCCTCAAATCCTCACCCCTGTTGACCGATGTTGACTTTTTTCTTCAGAGGAGGCACGGTGAAGTGACGAAAATGGTGCTGGTATGGCTGGAAACATGGCAGCAGCATATCTCAGTTTGTTGGGTGCCAGTGCTGCTTTGGCTTTGAAGTTGGTAAATGGATGTAAATGGGTATGGGCTGTTTCAGACTGGACCATTTTGGTATTAAGCTAGCCAATTTTGGGAGCATTGATTGCTGTAAAAGAAAGTGAGAAAGCCAAGGCCAAGTGGTCCAAAAGGCGGGGTATTTGAGAAATGAAAAGCGGCTCAGGGCTTGATTTCGAAGACATTTTCGAAAAAAATGGGTGAAATCCAGAAACAACCAGCAGATGAGCACCAGGCCACTTCACTCTGTTTCGAAACGCCACGCTTTTCGAAGTGTTGCGACTCATTCCCATGGCCTGGGTCAATTCTGCTGAGGAGACGGCCTCCTTCCTCAGTTGGGTCGTGAAAGATTTCAGCTGGGCGCCGCGGCAAGCATTCAGTTTGGGGATGTTTGGGGACTTTAGTTGCTAGATGTTGCTAGTTGAGATCATACTAGTTACGTTACCCTCTGGTAATTTAACATAGCGAAAATCACAAAGTTTAATAGGACAACAGGTAAGAGTTAGAGTCATCTGTAAATTGACCATGGTTTTCATAGCAAACTGTGAAATTACCGGAGTGTAGCTGCCATCAAACATTCACATTGTATTCATAGTACAATCCAAAATATCGCACTATATTCCCATTATATCTCCATGTTCCATTGCTATCTCATGTAATAAGTCCTTAAGATTAGATTAGGATTGGATTGAGATTCGATATAAATCAGATTAGATTAGACTAAGAACAGATAAGATACGATTAGGTTAAGATTAGATTTACTATAAGATAAGACTAGATATACCCTCTGGTTATTTCACAGTTCGCCATGGTTTTTCGATGGCCCTAATCGAAATAGATGATTTTCCCAGCTAGATACCTCCATTTATGGTTGGGATTTTCCATGGCTATGTTAGTCAGAACTACAAGGTGGGGCCCCCCAGTTATAAGTTGGTTTATAAACCCCATTAACTATAGTTATATCTGCCATAACCCATAGTTATTGGAGTTATAAACCAACTGAACGCTATCTTGGGGGCACCACCTTGTATCAAGTTGAATATCATCGAAAATGATCCTCCGAAGAAAAGTTCTGGGGGATCGGATCCAATTTTCCATTTTCCACTATAAATCACCATTTTCCATGGCTTTTTGTATGTTCACCAGAGGGTAGTCATAACCAGATGGTACGTCAATCGTAGCTCCGAGCTCCGAGGTCCTGCTGATCCCTGAGACCGCCTGGGTCGGGTTGCTCTGTGCCCTGATCTTTGAGTCCTGGGACATCCAGAACCATTGGAAGGCGGCCCGGGCCCGTGGATCTTATCTTATCATATTTTGATATATTTGCCATGGATTATTTTTGGGAATCTTTGGGGGCTTTTTGGCTTTGTTTTATGGATTAGTTATGATTAGTTTGTGTTTGGGGTCATTTTGGCTCACTGTGTGGATTGTTATATGTATAGATATAATTTGCTAGGTTTTCTGGATGCGATCATTTTGGCTTATGGCATTTATGGAGTTTGGATTGGGGCCAAACTGTTTTTGATTGGACCTGGGAATCGGCAGATTGGACCTGGCTCGAGTTCGGCAATCCCAACTGATTTCCCTGTTCAGTTCCTAAAGGGATAAATCTAATACCGGATATCCAACTGGATGTGGGCAATCATAGCATATCATAGCAACCTGGCAGATCTCACTCTTCAGGATAGGAAACCACCGTGAATTGCATTGCGCCGAACTATTTTTTGCCTGACTTGAGACTTACCCTCTGGTAATTTAACATAGCTATTGAAAATGACCCATTTATAGTTGATTTACCCATTAAACATGGGGATTTTCCATAGTTCTGTAAACGTTTACCAAGGAGGGTATCATAATTTGCCGAGATTGGATTGGGCTGGAGTGCAGCATCACTTAGAATCACTTCCAGGATCATGCACGGCATAGATGAATCACTGGCTTAACCAGCTGGCAAGCGGATGGTTGATAGTCACCTATTGCCATAAATGGAGCAAGCTGCTAAAAATTACGGCGCTGGGTGCCCGAAACAATTTGAGGATATTTCAGGATCATATGTCCTGTTACATCCTGTTACTGACCAGGATCTGAACTGGGATATCTTTGTTATCATGGAAACGACATGCAAAACATGTGAGGGAACCCAGCAGGGGTCAATCCGCCTGAAAATCTGGCACTTTTCATATCCCCATTGTTCATCGTTGTATTATGATGTATTGTGTTGTATTCAGATTGTTGATCAAGTGCTTCGGCTCAGTCCCAGCTCTCGTTGGTTCAATTCTCCGTTCTTTGGTTGATTAACTCCCCATTCCTTCGTCAATTTTCCCCTCTTTTGTGGGTTCGTTTCGTTGATCAAATCCTTGTTTTTGCATGTTTTTGCTTCTTATCAAATCCAGCTTCTATAATGTTGAATCCGAATTGTATTTTTCCATCACAGCTTCTGCTGGTGACACCTGATTCTAGATAAAACTCCCAATGTTCGTCAGTGTAGCCCAATTGTTGTCGGTCAACTCTCAAGTTTGTGTTTGTCAAGCCCCATTCTTTGCCGCTTAAAAAACTCCCGTGTTCTGTGAACGCCCAGGGCTCCGAAGTTTGATTTTTCAGGTGATCTGATTTTCGTTGCTGTGCCAAACCCTCCGTGTTTGCTGGTGAAATCAAATTCTTTGCTGATAAGACCTTCTTTGGAAACCATGGTTCAAATCCTATGAAGATCTTCCCTTCACCCCATTCCGGACATGGTTACTGTATTAAAAAAAACAGGGTTATCACATGTTATCACCCAGTTACCTATGACCAATCTCCGTGATATCTTTATTCCAGTCATTGGTTCCAAGTATTGCAACGTCAATCTGTCTTTCTTGGATGATTCGAGGAACCGTTTTTGTGAGTACCCTATGGTAACCCAATTATATGATGTTAGATGTGGGATATACCCTCTGGTAAACTAACAGTTTGCTATTGAACATGGCCATAGAAATAGTTTATTTACATTTATTTACCCACTAAAAATGGATAAAAATTGTGATTTTCAACAGCTATGTTAGTTTACCAGAGGGTACCTTCGTTACACATGGCTTATTTTCATCACTCTCTGGTTTTTTTTCACATCGAACTAAATGGACCAGTGAAACCAACCGGTGAAACTCCAGTAAATGGACCCCATGAAATCACCATTTCTTGCCGGTAAATCCATGAATAATCCTATAAAACTCCCATTTCTTGGGAGTTAAACTCCAGTAAATCCCCATGAAAGCCCCATGTGTTTGGGTCACCGGCGCGGGGATTTTTTTCGTTAACTTCCTGCACAGGTGGCAGATCGATATGATCTTGCGGGGCGCGTCGTGCCACTGGGTCTTAAGATTTTTCATACCCGGTAGCGGTAACTTGACATAGCTAACATGGAGATATCATGGGAATAGTGGTGGGATATGTGGATTATGTGGGTTATAATGTGAATATCACACACATATGATATATATATATATATGATATAATATATATAATATCATATCATGCGAATTTTTGATGGCAGCTACTCCGTAATTCAACATAGCTATTGAAGCCATGACCCATTTAGTTTGATGATAGAACATTGTGACTTTCCGTTTAAGCCCTATCTTATTGCTGTTGTTATCCTTTTCATCCTGTGACACCAACGTTTTCTCGTGTGGGATTCGCCAGAAAACATCCTCAACGACTTGCCTGTGGTCATGGGGCCTAAAATTTTTGAAACCCCTGAGACGGGTGTCAACACCGTTGACGCGGTAAGGCCCCATTTTCTTAGCCCTCCATTTCATCAGATACTTCCTATTTCCAGTTTAGCCCTTAGTTGGTAGCCAAGGGCTTGTCCATAATTTTGGTGAAGCACACTACGTCGTAGACATTTCCTTCGCGACCTCGCTTAGCATTGGAAGTCACTGGAGCGATGATGCGTTTTTTAAGCCATCCGCAGGTTTTGACCAGCATTTCTTTGGATTGTTGAAATGCCAACATTGAAAAATCACATTGGTTTCATCAACAAAATCTGGATTGAATTGAACTCCATAGCAATTTATGTTTTTTTAAAAACCATGATTCACATAAGCATAGTAAAACGGAGATTTTTAGCGTGATCTGACTGGGTAAAGCGACTCACACTTTTTGGTGAGTCCTGGCCATACTTTGATTCCTGGTTCTACTTGGTTTTACTACTCTACTCCTGGATATCCGCGTTGGGTGTCTCCCAAAAATGTTTTTTTTTTTTTTCTCCAAGGTATACCCCAAACTAGCAGTATCAATAGGGAACATAGGGAACATGATGATCAGTTAGTGGATGAAACAAATATTGATTTTGGGGTATCTTAGTCTCTGACCAAGCCACTGACTGACCCCGAAATCGACATGTTCCAACTGGATTTCGATTGAATCCAGGCTCTTGCTGTGGATTCTGGGCAATGGAACGTGGATGACTAGCGAGCTCCTGTGCGCCGGGCTTCTGGCAATCAAACATGGCAATAGAAACTCTCCTATACATGGAGGCTATACACTGGGAAAAGCATCATACTGTAAATAAATGATGGATTTTTTGATGGATTTTCCAGCACGCCATGTTTGATGATACTCTCCGGGTACTTTGAAAGATGCTCCCTAGGCCTTTCAATTTCTAGGGATGGAACCGAAAAGAGTGAGAGAGAGAGAGAGAGAGAACCAATGTCGACCGTGGGCAACAAACCACCAGGATGGTATGCGCCCATCCCTTTAACAGTGCCCTAAAATTGGTTCCAAAGATGAATGGACCATAACTGCCATAATGGACCCAATATGATTCAATACTAAAACGGTTAAAACGTAGTTTCTGGATGTTTCTGGCGGGTCTTGATTGGGGCGGTTTAAGGACGAACTTGTGAATTTCCGGTGACCAACTATCCATAGGGTGGATCTGCCCATCGCTGCAAGACGTGCCCATGAGTTGAAGCATGGCACTGGCCACAGGTACGAAAACCCATCGAAAAATATCACGTTTCCTTGGTCTCTTGGTTTGGGATCCAAAAAGGCCCCCAAAATGGGACCAAGATCTGTGGCTTCCGGGGGAAGTCTTGACATTTTGGAATATTTTTGACCCACACCCAAGGTTCGAAATTCCCCATTCAGGCAGTTGCCTTTGTGAATGTAGGGGGTGGGGATGATGCAATGGTAATGGTATGTGCTGGTTATGGTGATGAGGAAACCCTGATCAAATTGACATTGAAGCTGAAAGGTTAGGACCCCAAATTACAGGAGATCCTTTTCCCAAAAGCATGACTAGAATGGTCCGTAAAGTTCGGAAATTGAGTTCACAACTGGGTCAACTTGGAATTACGACCTCACACATACATACACACACACACACATATATATATATAATCATATATATATAATCATATATATATATATAATCATATATATATAATCACATATATATATATATATAATCATATATATATAGCAGATCTAGCTGGGATCGAGACTCCAAAAATTCACTCCAGTCCCCTTCAGCGCCCGAGGTTTCAGGGAGTCCCCTGGCAAGAAAATATGGCGAAGAGGGGAGATCTCTTGCTGAAGAGCCAAAGGGTTTAAGGCTTTACTACAGGGATTGGTAAATGTCCCATTTTGGGAATATTGGACATCACCTTTTTTTGTAGCCATCTAGTAGACCACAAAAACCGATTTTGGTTGGGTGATGTTCAATGGGGACATTTTCCATGACCCATGTACTAAAGGCCTATTAACATTATTAACCATCAGCAACCACGTTAGAAGGGCAAATCCGAACCATCGATTGTTTTCTTGGGGGATTACTGAAGGTGTTTTTTTGTCCACATCCGGCAGAGAGATCTGCTGGGAAATTCTACGTCATTAAGCCTTCAGCAAATCATGTCTACGACTTAGGAGGATGGGAAAGAGGCTGTTCACAAGAAAGGAGACTTGAATGAATAGAACCCAAAATCAGACACAGATGTAGATGTGTTTATATCAATGGACATGAGCACACCAGTATCATATTGGTGCAAAATTAAAGATATTAAAGCACATATGGATGCATCACTAACAAGTGGGCCCCAGAATGGTATGACGTCCATTGAGGCTTGGTCCTCACCTTATTTGGTTTCCGTGTTCCGATTTCTATCCCAATCTAGATACGTGGTTGATTTTCACGTTCTTCAGATTGATTTAGATGGAAGAAAGATGACTGTCTCGCAGAATTGGGCAAAAAAACCCAACAACAAATCAAATATTTGGGTTACCCAGTTTCACTAGACCAAATGCTATCGATGATTCCTGTGTTTCTCCAGTTTCTCCCGATGATTTCCCAGGCGCTCCTCGGACCGCGGACCTATGTGGATCAGGAACTCAAGGTGGAGACGGGATGTTTTTCCGACGGGTTTTTCTCCTTTGCTCGATTTTTTTAAAGTAAAGATATTGCACTTTGACTTTAAACATGTAAAACATGCTTCAAGCCACCAAAGTGGTGGTGGACAGGTACAGATGAATGATGAATACCAATAGGAAGCCCGGAGGATGGACTCGCTGGGCCGAAAAACATTCTGCTCGACAGTTGGACATGTTGCCAATCGGCGACATGCAATGCTCAAATATTCTTTACATTCCCAGTCTATCCAGTCTTTTTCGATGTAGACTAGATAGATCTAGATAGTCAAGTCTACTAGCAAATACCTTGAAGTTTCGGTGGAAAGTTGCTCCTAAGCCTGTAGCAACAAGTGTTTAGGTACAGGTCCTACCAGTTCCACCTTCCAATTTGATGCATACGCATGTAAACGCCCCCAAAGCAGGCAATTTCCACGCTCCAAGTCCCCCTGGTCACCTTGGAGTTATTCCTCCTTCACTGGGAGGGTCGGGTCATCGGGGGACCCCATGAAATGACCAAGAAATGTTGGCCCACTGGGTTAAGGGAAGATCAGGTAACATCATCTGAAACCACTATTTTTTGTTCAATTATTGCATCGAAGTATCGGGGCTTTCCACGTTTCCATCGCGAACTCTGGCAGATAGTCTTTAGGCAAAGTTGGGCACTCTCAAATGATCTCAAGCTTTTGGCGCATAGACATATCCCCCCAACATAGTAAAATCTTGAGATAATTATCCCCCCCAATGCTTTTAGTTTTGTACATTTGCATCAATGGCTTCACCCAACAAGTCAAACAGCATCTGTTCCTACCAGATGGCCATAGAGCGTTGTCATTCCTGTGTCTAAAGTATGGGGCCGGTTTCGGTTTCCCTATTTTCCATGGCAATTTTCATGGGAAAAACCATGGAAAACCATGGGGAAAACAATGAGAAAACCCCTTGGAACTGGGGGTGCAGCATTCCAACCCCATGATTTCGCCAAGAAATGTCAAATGATCAATCCCACTAAATCATGAAACAATAGAAACTGCAGAAACTGTGCTGGTGAAACAATAGAAAAAAACAGCGAAACATATATCCCAAGATTACAAACATGTTCATAAATCATCATAAATCCGTATATTGTTAATATTTGTTAATGCACGTGAATGGTTGATGCATGTTGATGCCAAGATTTCCAGGTCCTGGCTGGAAGCTTCTGGGCTTTGGGCCTTTTGCTGGGCCTTGCTGCGCAGATGCTGGGACGACGACAAGGGGAGAGGGCCTTACGAAGCAGGTGCCGGCGATGGGCACGGCTGTGTAACACGTGGGGCCCAAGAGTTTGGTCAGTTGGCGAACATGACTCCAATAACTAGGGTTATGATATGTTATGATACTTATAACATTTTATAACTGTATATAGGGTCTGTGGGTTTGTGGATGTTTATGATTTTGAAGTAAGGAAAGAAACAACTTAACGGTGGTTTCAGATATCTCGTCTGTTTATTGGCGAGGGATGACCAGGGAGTTTATAAAGCGAACAAGGGGGAAAAGCTGGATATATAGACCAGTAAAATTAATGGTGGCTTCAACTAATCAGCTTTAATTATGGATTTCGAACCACCAACCCGAACCACCAGGTAATCTTTGGTTGACTATTTGAAGTGATTCTCCCAAGTGACTTATATCCTTGGGATACAGTATATAGGTAGCTCAACCACCAACAAGTTATGATGTGGCATATCCAATGATGTACCCAAGAATTCATAAATATTTATGAGGCATTGGAGCCTCAAAACTGGGATACTTTCTGGAGATTTATCCAATAAAGCATGGGAATAATGTGGTATATCCACTCTTATAGGTCCACCTCCGCTTTTGAATGGCATCACATTATGACATTCGTGGGATTTTTTTTTGGGGGGTGGCTATATGATTGGGCCTATGTATCACGTTATCTTCAGAACATAGGGTTTTTTTGAGATGTAAATTGTTGAGGGTTCAGAGTTGCCCTCTCGCAAAAAAAACATAGATATCCGGTTGGTGGTTTCAATCATTTTTATTTTCCACAATATATAATTATATATATATATGGGATAATCCTTCCCATTGACTAATATTTTTCAAGATGGTTAAAACCCAGATATGAAATGATATCAAAAATCCACCACTTGTGGATCATGTGGGGCAAGAGTGTTTTGACGAAGCCGGGGATTCTTTCATGATTTAAGCGCGAAGATTAATTGGGTTCCCTATGTGCAAAGTGAACTGATTCAACGAGATTTCCTAGGAATTGTTAGGATTGAATTGATCTAAGCCTCTAAGCAGCCGCAATTTTCTTGGTGAGGATCTATCCCAACACTTGTGGGATAGACGGCTCAGATTTTGTGTGTAGCATAGTAAATCTTGATGAGACAATGGCGAAGATAGTGGCGTGGCTTCCCAAACCAAGTTCATGCTGATTTTGACAGATGTTTGGCCTTAAGCCTTAAATTAGTCGCGGTGCTTCGGATGATGCTACCCTCATTGTGATCTACATTTTTTTGAATATCCCATATTTGATTGGAAATTCCCATTATGATCTACTTTTTTTGAATATCCCATTATGCTTCCGATATTTGGACTTTTGGACTCATCCCACCTTCACAATTCATTGAAGCGGTGCCACATGCCATGGTGCCCGGCGTCCGGCCGTCCGATCTGACAGGCTGAATGCAGATCTGTGGGTAATCTTCTGGGTCCTCAAGGATCTGGGCTCTGGCTGGAGATAGAAATCCATTGCCGTTCATATATTCATACGTGGGGATTGCAGTAGCAGTAGCCATTTTGAGGACTTTCAAGGAATGCATTTTTGAGGACCATGTCAATGTCGCCATTCTGGGTATTGTCCGTGGCGCAAGAGCGCGAGACTTGAGTCAGACCATGGGTCATGCGGTAAATGAAAGAAGCAACCATCCCCAACTCACTACGAGAAGATACCATAAATATCCATAAATGGGTTGTGAACCTCATCCTTAACTAGTAGTTTGTATTACTGGGTTTACTGACGTGTACCGCATTCTTCTTATATTGTAGCTGACTGGGTGCCTGGCCCCTCTCAAGAGTGATGACTCGATTGGCCCAGATCAAACAGCCACAGGACTTCTTCTGGTTGCTGGCACTGCCATGGAATGCGACTTGGACCATCTGCAGCTGCCATACTGTTGGCAGCTGCCCCACGTGACCGTGGATTGCCCAACGCTAGGGGGATAAGACTGCCAACCTGGCTATGTAAGGGGATGTGCTCTCCAAGTATTTATATGTAGCTCTATAAATTAGGCTCCCGAAATTGACCAAATGCGATGATACTTGTAGCGATGATACGATGCCATAGTCTGATGTCCAATGCCCCAGGCCTTAGCTTGCTCCGTTGTCATCTTCTACTGCCTCATTGACCTTCGCCCAAGCTCAGGAGGGTGTCTATCCGAGTCTATCAAGCTGGTTTACCATCTGGTAACCCGTGGCATGTTGGAAAATGACCCATTGATCAAATTGATGATAAAAGCCCCACTAACACATCCATTTAGCTCGGGCATTTCCCACGTTTGACTACCGGAACCCTAAACTGTCGAATCTTGACCCACCAGTTTGATCCAAACCTATTTGTAGATAGCTGGTAGTGACTCCGAGCTTGTTGGCAGCATGGAGGACTTCCCAGAGCCAGTTCCGATTTTGATTGGAGATGATTTTCCAAGTATTCCGTATAAATGCCCCATCTTTTTTTTTTTGCTTTCCAATCAACCAACGTTAGTCATAATTTCACAATGTTTCACCAGAAGTTTACCAGTGAGATTCAGTTCGATCACACTTTTTTTGGGTGGAGATCCCAAGTTTTTTCCTTGGCCATCGGCCGGCCATCGCCAGAACCCAAAGTCTTGACGGCCGCCCTGATCTCCTGGCTGTGCCCTGGTGAAAAACATCAGGAATTTACATGATTTTAAATTGATTTTCGATGAGTAATAAGCAGTTGGACTTAAGATTGCATATATATATATATACATACATACATACATGTGTGTGTATGTGTGTGTGTGTGTTATATATTATACATATACACATAATATATATATATGTATATATTATACGTATCATATATAAATAAGTATCTTAGAATCTTAAGCAAGTGAACAGGTCCAATTTCAACATCAGAAGTAGGGACTGGGGTCGACTGGGGACCGATCCAACGTTGAGAGTTGGTGGCTTAGCCCAACTTTTGCCCCTCCGAGGAAATGCTACCTGGATGAGAGAGAGAGAGAGAGATATATATATAAATATATATATATATATACACCTTAGCTATGAAATTGGAGGCAGTTTGAAAGATAGAATTTGCAAACTTCGGATGATCATTCCATGTAGGGAGTTCATTTGTGAGTGATAGCCCCAGATATTCCCAGGTCTCCAGATCCCAATGGATTCGGGAAATGGAGCCCTCAAGTCTGGTGCCAAAGTAATCTCAATGATTTAAATCCCAGCATGGCTACGGATCAAACTTGTCTACCACCCAACTTGGATAGTCTTAGATGCGCAGAATCACCAACAAATCTCAGAGCCAGGACTCCCAGAGCCTGACAACCTCCTTACAGAATTGGCAGGGAACTTCAGCAACCCCCTAATGCGGTGCTTGTGACAAGACTTTTTTGTTTGGGGAGCTATGTGTTTTAGAACAAAAATGTGGTCATTGCAGGCTTTATCATCTCACATTCGACTTGTGGATTTCTGTAGCATCCGCATGAGCATAGTTGGCAGTTTGATCATTGATACCCTCTGGTAATTTAACATAGCTATTGAAAATGACCATTTATAGTGGATTTTCCCATTGAACATGGTGATTTTCTATAGTTATGTTAGTTTACCAGAGGGTATTCCTTGTAGGTTGCGTGGCTGATATCCCTTCAGCTACCTTTTTCCCAGCGTTTTTCCCCCATTTTTTTTTGTGGAAAAACATCAGCGCATCCAGTGACCCCAACTTTCATCTTGGGTGGCGGGACGGTAGTGTTCCAAGTGGCCCTGAAATGGGGTGTACAGCAGTTCATCGGAATTTCAATGGCGTCTTAATCCGGATTAAGCATGATTAACCATCAAATTCAGGATTTTTGGCATTTTTTTTTGGGGGTAACCAACCCAAGTGCTGAGTCGCGAGGTGTGGGAATACCGTGTGGCTGGTGGGGGAACTTTTCCTGGCTGATGCGTCAGTGCTGCCTCGGGTGCCTCGATCTGCGACATCGCGTGGCTCAGGGTGTGATGATTTTACCAGCGGAACCCACTGGATACCATGGCTATGTTAAATAACCAGAGGGTAAATGGATTATTAATGGGGTTTTATGGTGGTTTAATGGGATCTAATGGGATTTTTCGTAGGATTTACCCTCTGGCAAACAGCCACATAACTATGGAAAGATCCACCATTTTTTAATGGGTACATCCACTATTTCAATGGCAATGTTCAATAGCAAACTGTTAGTCATGACCAGAGGGTATTTGATGGGTAACGATATGTGTATTTATGTGATACTGGATGCACTAGATACTGGATATGTAATTGTGATACACTGGATATGTGATTTTACCGTGGCAACGAGAAATACACGAGAAAAGGACACACGCTATTTGATGATGGGCACAGTGATCCACAGGCATTTTTCTGTAGGCATAGTCTGTAGATCATTTGCCAAGTTGGACTTTCCCATTCCAAGGGATCCTGAAACCAACTACCCTCTGGTAAACGTTTACATAACTATGGAAAGATCCACCATTTTTCATGGGTAAATCCACTATTTCTATGACCATTTTCAATAGCTATGTTGGTTTACCAGAGGGTAGTCAATCAATCAGACCTAGAGACATCCGCTCTGAAATTAAATGGGAAGATCAGATGATCAGCCCCCCAGGCCTGCACGGGATACACGATAAGAAGACTGAGTATAGCAATGGTGTTCTGCCCATGCTCCATGATCTTTGTTGCTGAAATCTCTTCATCTTGGCCGAAATCCACATGTTGCTGGCAATTTTTTTCGATGTGTCAACCATGTAGTTCTGTGGGTGAACTCACGTTAACTACATGTAACTCCCAATTTTTCGGGCCGAATTTTTGAGGTTTCCCATAGAGTTACCCGCTAGTTGAAGGTGTTGACCTGCGTCTGCCTTGCTTGCTCTTTCTGTCTGGGCATCAAGAACTTCTTCGAAGAGCAGGACGACCCCGAAGCCAGTGGCACAGCTGTACATTTACCACGAGCCACTATAGTTGAGGGTCAATCTTGGTTTGGGTTTGTCTGATTTTAACATCTTTTAAAGGGAAACCACCAACACTCACTAACCTTGATGATCTTTGATAGTTGTATATAGTATAATGTTGTATATAATAATCACTTTCCCTAATGATTAAAGTTGCCAAATTAGGAGACATTTGGGTAGGCCCCAGGCCCCAGGGCGATCCTAGGGAGTTGATTGGCCACCAGGGTGGCACAAAGGCTGGTTGGTATACCAATTATGCGAATAATTATGCGTATACATATGGAATATATGGATTCCATGATTATATTATGTATCATGATGTTTTTATTTTTATGATTTGTGTACCGAGGCCGCTCGCTGTCTAGATACGCAACACTTCTGTTTTTTTACACAAGACACACACCAAAAAAAAATGCATCCACACGTATGCAGACATACGGATTCCGACAATCAAAATGTTCGGTCGCTGAGTTGTGGGCAGTGCATGACACTGAGGAAGCATCTTGCCGAAGAGCATGGGCACGGTGAACCATGGCAAGTTGTGATGCCAAGGTCTGAACGGATGAACTGCGATTTTTGCTGGTGGAAGATGGTGGAAGCCTCTTCAATTCCATTTTTGTTGTTTAGAACTTGGAATTGACATGGCCAAGAGTCACTATGCAGGGTTCTAAAAACTCAGGAATCTTTTGGCTTGATTGATGGTGAGAGTCGGAAAGAACTCCACAAAACCATGGGCTTTTACAATCCAAACATAAACGTGGGGGCTTCCTACCCTCCGGTAAACTAACATAGCTATGGAAAATCACAATTTTTAATGGGAAAATCTACTATTAATGGCCATTTTCAATAGCTACGTTAAATTACCAGAGGGTACCACATGTCCTTTCAATTCTTTGACTTTGAGGGAGGACCAGGACGGGCGGCGTGACTGTAGCGTGTGCGACCCCGAAAAAACAGTCGATGGGCAGCTGGGCGCCGGGAGAGCCGACCCTTGACACCACAAGCGCCAGATGCTACTACCATTTATCTCCGGTTATATTTGGTTCATGGTTTCAAGCATGAAATGTTCAACTCTATTTAAACTTACATAGGAGGATCCAAACTACAAACCAGTTATCCACTTGCACGGTTTTACCACTTGGCAGGGCTGTCTGCCAAGTGAGAATTGGCTGGCAGATCCGTGGAAAGCCAGGTGCCCTTCGGTAATCAAACGGGGCAATTGACAATCCCCCGGTTTATAGATGATTTTCCATATTTTCCCATTTATACTAACCTTTATCGTCATCCCCAAATAGATGGAAAAGTAAATCCCTACTAATTTGATCGTGATTTTCTTTTCCAATCTTTTCCATCTGGGGATGACAGCCACCTGAATAAGCCCCGATTCGACGAGGCGCGATGATACACGGAAATGGGGTTTCCATATGTTTTCATCCAGTTCGGGGATCCCAAAAACATGGAAAATCCTATTAAAAATGGATGATTTGGGGGTACCTCCATTTCAGGAACCCCCTGTAATATATAACGTGCTGTATATGTATAAAATATTATAAAATAATATAGAACAATTATATATATATATGTATTTAATTCTCATGCATGAATTGATGTATTTAATTTGTACTGGGAAGAGTTGAGAAAAGAAATAAACACAGGCGCACACACACACACACACCGATACACACACAGACAAACACACACACACAGGCACAATTAAAATAGATGTGTGCATCCTATAATTGATGCAAGATCCACAGGAAACCCCTAGATGGTAAAAACGGAAAAAGACATGGTTTCCTGAGGTTCCCTTTTGTCTTTCCCTTCAAGCATTCAGAATGCTTATTTAAGCCATAGTAAGCCATCCTCGATTTGGTTTTATGGTTTATTATTTATTATTGGGTATGCCCAACAGGCCAAAAATGTCCCTGGAGAGGTCCCTGTTGGTCGGTTTAAGGTTGAATCCCCAACCGAGGCGGCGAGCGACATCCTGGAAGCAGATTTGTGGCTTAGATCATCTTAGATCAATCAGTGGAGAACCTTTTTATCTTTTTGTGTAACAAAAAAATGGAGCATCATGGAGCTTTCACCATGTTTCACCTTGAAAAATTGGGGATTTAGTATGATTTAGTCATGAATCATGAGTGGTTGCTGGTGAAACCCGATCTTTTCGGCATTGAAAAAGTCGCGATGAGGAAAATCTGCATATCGCTGATGGGCAGATTTTCAGGGCTTGAAACCACCAGTTATCGTTATCATTATTACTAATGATTACCTAGTGACATATCTTCTGGGGTTATATGTATATATATACACATATCTTGATCTCATCTCAGAATTGGTCAAAAGGAAAATGTGCAAGAAAACCTTATATTTTGGAGCGAAAACCATTGTTTTCTCTACATTGCCCCTAAACCCATCCATTGAACTGTGATTTTCTCAGTTGTGATGTCTAGTGCTGTGCTCAATTCATAATGAGGTGTCATGGAGATAATTTAGGGGGGCATCTCTCCTGTTTTGTGCTAGATTTGACATGGGACCCCCAAAAATGTACCAAAACCCAGAATAAGCCTGCTTAGACTGTTTCGACCACTGGGGTAATGTGGCAAACCCAACTGTAAACCAACCCTTGGAGCAAAAGATATCTAGAATATTGTAGAATCACATTAAGCCCAGGGGGTTCTGCCCAAAAGATTGGCAACTCGGGATGGTTGGCGTCACGTTGCGTTCTCGAAAAGGTGATCAATTTCCGGTGACCGTTACCAGTCGGTGTCATCAAACGTGATCAGCTGGGAAATCCCCTGTACCTGGATTTGTTGAGTCGATGATTTTGACTTTCCCGGGAAATCCTGGGTGGTTCCGTAAGGTCCAGCTACGTCTTCTCTCCCAAAGTTTATGACTGTGGTAAATCCAAGAGAACACCCGATGTTTTCGCCATGCCAGGTGAGGGTCTCTAGATTTTATCAGAGTTGCTTCCGCCTCCTCCTTCTCCTTCTCCTTTTCATCCGGCAGCCTCGGACTACGCCCTCAACTGCGAGTGCCAGATCTCAGTGGGCACTGCCGGACTTCAACCGCGAGCTCCAGATGGACACTGCCAGACCTCAATTTCATGCCAGACTAGTTGCCAGATAGAATGCCGAATAGATTGAATAGACTGTCAGATAGAATGCCAGTCGAATAGATGCCGGAAAGTCAGACTATTTAGAAAATGTCGGAATAGATGCCAGGTAGGATGTCAGAAAGAATGTCAGAATAGATGCTAGGTAGAATGCCCGGGAAAATGTAAGAATAGATGCCAGATAGGATGTCAGAATAGATAGCAGATAGTTGTCAGATTAGATGCCAGATAGATGCCAGAATATATAGAATGTCAGACTAGGCTGCCAGATAGACTGCCAGAATAGCATGTGAGAAAATATGTGCCATATGTACTTCCAGATGAGACAAAATAATTTGTCACGGTGGGGATCGCTCGAGGGAAAAAACAAATTAAAACTGGTGGTAAAAAGCGCCGCCCAGAGAGGGACATCTAATTATCTAATTTTAGCACATTAGCAGAGCCAACAGGAGCAAAAGAGAGAGGTCCAAGCTCTCATGGACCTGAATCTTCTTGGGGATTCCCAGCCTTTTGGATTTCAACACCTAACGTGCAATCTGAAGAATTTCCATCGCCGCGTCAGGCTGCTTGCAGGCATTCGGTGCCAGAGGGCATTTGGATGGAGAAGATAAGAGTTTCAAAATTTCAAAACTTTCAAACTCTATCCATGCCTGGGATGATGATCCCACTTACCAGAATATTGACCAATGTTAACTCATCCTTTCAGGCCCCACCGCAATTCTTTCCTGACATTGGCCGGGCCAAGAATCGTCAGCACTTCTGCCGAGGTTCTCCCCTTCTGCCCCGGTGTCGCATGAAGCCAGCGAGGTGGGAACCTGCCAATGTTTCTGGGATGTTTTGCGAATGTGGCGCCTGGCAAGCGAAGTGCCTTGATTTGTACTTTGTCATAACTTTGTTGCCATAAACTTCCAAGGGGTTCGAGACAATGCACTTTTGGTAACTGGGGGGTGATGGCTACTGAGAAGGCCTGAGAGGAGTGGATGCCCCCGAAAACTACATGGAAAGGGATGGATATAGGGCTTTCATAGAATTGAAGGCCCCAAGAACCACTCAATTTTTTGCTGTCTTGGAAGGAATCCTATGGGCTCTCCGATTTAGAGAAACAACTTCAAAAATTGACTGCAACGGATGGACTTATGGTTCAATCGGGTTATTTGGACTATAGAGTGGTCGGTGTATATAGTGTTTTCGTTTTTTTTTTTCTGTTTTCCATTCTCGGAGCCAGAACAACATGATTTTCCCAGGTGGTTTCAAACGGTTTCAATCTTTGGGATGAGTGGTTCAGCCACCAATCGTTAGTTATCATCCGACCTGGGGTGATGATCATATTCTTATGGGGGTTGAAACCGCCAAACACGCAACAATTACTGCACAAATCATGGTTTGCTTCAAAATTTGAGCCAAAAACAGGTACCAAAAAACAAGTTGATTGGTGATTATAACGGATTATAGTGCCCGGTTTAATGGGCATTATGATAATCCATAGGGAACCTATCAACCAACTAGTATACTTCCTGCAGGAAGAAAGCAGCGACAGTGATGATTCCGAGGTCGCTGCCAGGGAGTTGGGTGTTGCAGCATGGGCAGGATGGGTAAATAGCAGGTTAATATGATTATGATGATGATGACGATGACGATGGTGATGATGATGATGATGATTATGATGATGATTATGATGATGATGATGATGATTATGATGATGATTATGATGATGATGATGATTATGATGATGATGACGATGACGATGGTGATGATGATGATGATGATGATGATGATGATGATGATGATGATGACGGTGACGATGATGATGATGATGACGATGACGATGGCGATGATGATGATGATGATGATGATGACGATGATGACGACGATGGTGATGATGACGATGACGATGGTGATGATGACGATGACGATGACGATGACGATGGTGATGATGATGAGGATGATGATGATGGTGATGATGATGAGGATGATGGTGATGATGATGATGATGATGAGGATGACGATGACGATGACGATGACGATGACGATGGTGATGATGATGATGATGATGATGACGATGATGACGATGCTGATGATGATGATGATGGTGATGATTATGATGATGATGATGGTGATTATGATGATGATGATTATGATGATGATGATGATTATGATGATGATGATTATGTGATGGTGATGATGATAATGATTATGATGATGATGATTATGATGATTATGATGATGATGGTGAGGATGATGATGATGATGACGATGACGATGACGATGACGATGCTGATGATGATGATGATGATGATGATGATGACGATGACGATGATGATGATGATGATGACGATGACGATGGTGATGATGATGATGATGACGATGATGACGACGATGATGATGATGATGACGATGACGATGGTGATGATGATGATGATGATGACGATGACGATGACGATGATGATGATGACGATGACGATGATGATGATGATGATGACGATGACGATGACGACGGTGATGATGATGATGACGATGACGATGATGATGATGATGACGATGACGATGACGACGGTGATGATGATGATGACGATGATGACGATGCTGATGATGATGATGGTGTTG